CAGCAGGAAGCTCTACTGGTGGAGGGGAGCGTGATTGTGGGGGAGGGGTGTTGTTGCGTTGTTGTTGCCAGGCTTGGCGGGGTGGGACATATCTGTAGAAGTTTTTTAGTAGGGAAGCGATAGCTTAGAGGGGAAAGAAAGAGAGGGGGATTACTCGTCCCGCGGTGTTGATCTCCCGTTTTCGTTTACTACCGATAATCTTCCAGCATGTGGAGGTGGTGGATGTTCTTCTGTGTCTAATTCCACCGATCCATTCGGTCCACTCGGTCCACCTCCCCGTTCTTCTCCTCTTGTACCTCCAACCGCACCTGCCATAGGTAGCGTCTTCTCAAACTCCCTTCTCTCGTCAATGATCTCACCCTCGGGGTAATCATATTGCTGTGGCCCAGGTGGAGGCATAGGTCCTCCTCTTCCACCCATCATCATCGTTCCTGGAGGCGGTCCTCCCATTCCACCGTAGGGAGCTTGCCCACCACGCATCCCTCCCTGGGGAGGGGGGCTCATCATTCCATTATTCGGCGGTGGTCCCATGCCATATCCCGGACCTCCACCACCATAAGCATTGCCGGGAGGCGGCCGGGGCCCAAACTGACCCGGCGAAGAACCTCTCCTTGGCGGGGGAGCCAGTCCTCCCGCAGGAGGATACATCCCGGGTGGTGTTGGTCCCCTGAATCCACCAAGTGGTGACCCCCGCTCCCCATATACATCTCCCCCATAGCCCCTATCATACCCGCCCCTCTGTGGAGGTGGAACTCCATACGGTCCTGAACTTCCGCTAGTCCCTGTTTGTAATGTTCCATTCGAGTATTGATTCCTCACTTGCCCTGTAGGCATAGGTCTAGACAAAGGCCCAGCACCTCTAGGTGCTAGGCCATATCCTACACTCCTGTCACTCGGCTCCCTTGTCAAGGTATTGCTCCTTGTAAACGACCCATCCGATGAAGTGCCTGGTATGGGTGGGGAAACAGTTCTAGATCTAGGATTAAGCGGGATCCTTTCTCCCTCTGGTTCACCTGGTGTCGTTTTGTTCACCTCGAACGTTGCATATTCGGGGATTTTGTCGGGCTGCGCGGTAGTAGAAGCAGCAGCAGTACGTTCTCGAGCAAGAGTTTGTGATGCATAGAATTCTTGGCCGTTCATAGCAGCGTTATCCTCAATCCTCTTTCTTCTTGCTTTCTTCGATACAACGGTCCTACGCATCCCACACATTACTATTCCTGCCATCGCAATCAGAATAGTAGCCCCCAAAACTACCCAACCACCCCATTGCACATGTGGAAGGAAGATCAATATATCAACCAAGAAGGCCAGAAGTGAAAGCAGGAAAGTTGGTAACGAGAGTATGAGAAGTGCTAGCAGGTAACCAGGCGAGTGCGCAGGCGAGGGAAGGTGAGATATGACTGCGAGCACCAGTAATATTAGAGTGAAAAGTGCAGCGATAGGGTGAACAATCAGTAAGTTTGATAACGAGTTGCGCGCAATGGATGGTAGCGAGAAGTCGGCATTGGCGGGTGAGAGCGAGCCTGCGACCGACGAGATAAATTAGTTACCACTCGAGCAAATTCCATAAACTGAAACGCATAGCCGAGAGATGAAGAGGAAAGAGACAGAGACGGGTCACCGCGCTCAATTGATGTTTGTGTAGTTAAATTAACAATGTCGCCAAACTGCGGTGCCAAAACCGCGCACGGTCATGATCCCGCACCTGCTGTCTCCGCCTCACTCGCCTTCAAGCTCCCCAAAGTGAAAACGTACCCATATTATAGCCAATCCTGACACTGCTACATGATTTCGCATCGCAAAAACCAAAGACTCCAAATGTAGTGTCGTTATAAGAGGCCAAGTGAATGGATGTAATGACAGGAGTGCTCAACACGCTCAGCAATAGCAGTGCAAAAGCCGCAAACAGCAAGATACAGAGCGGGGTTGCCGGTCGTAAACGCATGTTGACTATTTATTTTTTTTTGATTTCTCTCCTGATCCACGATCAGGTATGGTGTAGTAAAGAAAAGAAAAAGAGTGAAAGAGCAAAAGAGCAAAAGAGTGAAAAGTTGGTGTGTGGGTTGGAGCGGGGGTTCAACCCGTGCACCTGTTGTTTGTGTGGCTCAGTCTGTATAGCTTCTTGTGGATTGGGTGGACAAAAATAAAAAAAAATAAGAAAAGAAGGTGCTTTCTGCAAGTCGAAGATAAGAGAACTTGGAATGCAGCGCGCGTACCAAAGGGTTATAGTAATAGTGACGGGGTCCGCAAACGCTGACCAATCGTGAATGGGATGAAGAAAGGGTCAAGAGAAAGCAGAAAACAAAAAACAAAACAAAACAACGAAAGTCCACGAACAATGTTGGGTTTCCGGTAAAGGGGTCAAATTGCTGAGTAGCTTTTGTCTCGTGAAATATAGGGAAACAGAAACAAAAGGGTTCCGGGCGGTGAAATTCACCGTGACAGTGGGAGAAGGGACTGAAGAAAGGGATAATAGAAAGCGGTAGAGTAACGAGTAATTAGTTTTGTACAGTATACTCGAGTACTCGAGTACTTGAACTGAGCTTGTACTGTATGTACCCGTGTTTGTGTGTGTAAGTGAGTGTGTTTCCTTCTTTCCCTCCTTCCTTCAATCGTCTACCAGAGACACAAACTGACCGAGGCTTATGGTAGGTTAGAGGATTTCAAGGAAACAAAGTTGTTGAAGGAGAGTGGTGGTGCGGATCTCCACCGCGTTAACGTCAAAAAACGTATGTACGGTGTGGAGCCCGGCCCACGTAACCAAGAAAGGACAGGAAAAGAAATTGGTCTGCAGAGCTTCACTCCACACACTCTCTTTCTCCCGCTCTCACTTCCAACTCTCACTCTCTACTAAAAAAAGAGGTGGGTGAAGAGAACAAGAAAAGACTTCAATTCCGCTTCACTTGTTATCCCCCAAAACGACACTTTACTAGGCCACGCTTAGCGAAAGCCACTCAAATACGGTATAATAGGAGAGAAAATAGGTTAACATCCTCATCCAACGCTTTCTTCCCTGCCTGACTGCCCGTCCCTTTTTTGCCCAGGTTTTGCCCCCTTCCCATGATTAAGACTGCGGCAAGACAAATTCATGTATCATACTCGAGTATCATAATAGGAAGAAGCAAGGCGGCTCAAACCTGCACTCTAAACCTTCCTTCCCCATTCCACCAAATCTGCTCTCTTTCTTCCCTTCCCCAATGCAGTTTTCTCTCCCAGAATTGGATTTTTTGCACTTTCTCTGCCCTGTGTGTCCACTTATAATAACAAGCACTTTTCCGAACTATGGTAAATAATCAAAGTTAATCTAAAAACCAGTCCTTTTGCAAGCGATATATGGTGCATACGGTAGGCCAGTTATGATATTGCTGCTGATATGGTATGCTTGTCCCTTGTACTTGTTAAGTATCATATGTACCGTCACTCATACTGACATACGGGAACGTCGTATCATACTGTACTTGTGCGCAAACTAAGTTACGGTTCAACGGGCCTTGGATTTTGGTGTGCTTTTCTTCGTTGATCACCACCAAAACTAAATTTGCGCGCAAGTACATATCCGTATCTCATTTTAAAAATAAATCCTCCTTCCTCCCCTTCCTTGAAAAGAAATCTTATAAGTCCAAATTACAGTAACGTCCTTACGCCCCTGACGAGATCGCACCCATCCATCGCGAGATTCCTGACTAATAAATCGCGGATCACTCTGAGAGTTGGCATTAGAGGAAAAAAAAATCTCGCGAGGGGTGCAATCTGTAACCTAACTTTCATTCTTATCTAGCCCGGGGTTATGCCCCGTTTCAATCTCGTGAGGGCTGTAAGGACGTTATGTCTCAAGAGAAAAAGGGGTTGATTCGACACACCACGGGTGATACCCGAAACGCCCTGCTTCTCTGCTACTGTCCCATTCGTGTGGATAAGTCACTGCGCCGACCATCTAGCGCCACATATCATTGGTCGGTTCACTTCAAATATAGATTGAATCCAAACACCGTATGGTAATCCAAATATCGTAAATAGCTATGATACATATTTTTTTTTTTCATCATGCCCTGCCGCCAGAACAGTAAATGTCCCATCTGCAACAATAATGCCCATGTATTCGCTCCTATGGGAAACTAACGAATTGCCATCCCCATCCATTCATCCGTTTATCAAGCTACGGTATATCTCCGCTCGCGGAGGAATGATAAAAATAAAAAAATGTAGCAATCACAAAGTATCACTCGAACTGGTAATTCCCCGATCATTCCTTTCACCCCCCGGAAATGCAAAAAACATAAAACAAAAGTGGGAGTGATGGCAGAGTTGGTATTTTGGCTTGGCTGCTTGTGCATGATATGGTATGATGACAATATTTACTTATTTGCACCACCGCAGGTGAGTGAGCGAGTGAATGAATGGCGATGAACTCACTGCTTGCATCCATCCATCCGGTGTCGGTATCCTATCCTATCCATCATATCTGCCCATCATGCCTGCCGGAACACAGTAGCATTCATCATACTACACCCACCTTACCACCCTTACCCTTACCATATCGATAAGTTCCTTCCTCCTTACAAGCACAGCATCATACAAAACACACAAAGTCTCTCATACGTTCCGCGCCAAGTCATAAATGGCGTTAGCTCTCTATATGAAAGATCAACAATGCGGCAAGGATCCCTTTCGGAGAGAAGGAAGAAAGGAAGGGAAGAGTGGGGTAGTTTTTTTATTTTATTTTTACCAACTTCGCTAACTTTCATGGAGCGGGGGGTTGCGGATGTGGGATTTTTATTCAATTGCATCTCCGAGGCACAATACAAGCACAAAGCGAGGTTTTGTGCCTTGCCTTGCTTTGTACTGTACTTGTGTTGTGTGTGTTTGCTTTCTTCATGTTGAGGGGAAGATGGTGCGGGCGTGCGGTCATGCTTATTCTGCTTTTAGCAATTCACTGTTGTATAGATAGATGGGCGCTGGTATTATTGCCTGCGAGGAGTAAATTTGATATCAGGTCGTATGTTAGGATGTCCGAGTGGTTAAGGAGTTTGACTTGAATTTCTATTTCATGGTATCAAATGGGTTCGCCCGCGCAGGTTCGAATCCTGTTTCTAACGTTTGTTTTTTGTTTCTTTGGGCTTTGCTGGCGGGGGGTTGGGTGATGGTTTGTGTAGAAGGAGTGTTTTTGATACGTGGGGTTGATGGATGCTTTTTTAAAAGCCGGAGGGAAAGTGACAGGCCGCCGGGGTTAAGGAAATGATAAGATACCTTTATCGATAGTACCTATCGACTGCAGATGAACGGTCTTTCTATGAGGGTAGGATACGATATCAGTAGTTATCGGTAGTGACGACGATAATAATAATATTATGGTAGTTTGCGTAAGCTAGCGCGCGTCAGTGTCAGAATGTATTTTTATATAAAGACCGATTTCCTCTTTCTATCATGGCTAGTCTCTCTATTCAGCTCGATGCTGTTAACCCCTCCCCCATTCCTGGTCTAAAATTATCTATTCTCAGTAATGCCTTTCTCATTCCCAATTCTGAGCTGGACTGACACTCGATTCCAGATACCGGTACCGGTACTCCAGGTTGCAAATGGGTAGATCACATACAGATAAATTCATCTTCCATCACTCGAAACCCGAAAACCAGGCAAGGTATGCAATGTGCGACATACCCGTTGAACATCCGATGTGTGACAGGTGAAGTTAGATGAGACAACATTGCAACGTTGCTCACGTAGACCAACCTTATTTTTATTGAAGTTTGCTCGCCTCCATCATGGTCTAGCTTAGATACCCCTTATCGGGGGCAAGAGAAAGCTTATCATAGCATCCGTGAAAGTCCGGACGAAATGGGGGCTAATATTAGGTTATTTATGCTAAGCCGACTAAACGGCCGGTTTGAGGCTCTCCGAAGTCCAGCATTGGAAATTCGACTGATCGGAGTCATGTTGGACTCCTGGTTGCTGGTATGGTGTGCAGATGCTGCGTCCGCCATCAGGTTCCATTCGTTCGGTTCGAATATTGAGGTGGGTCGATTGATTCGGCGGTACTTGCAACCTTTTTAACCCGTTCCCTGTTCCTGGATGAGATGGTTTTCGTTACTCACTTGTTGTCCTCGGGACTGGAGTATCGACGTGGTCTTGAAGGGAGAGCTGTGCGCTGCAGTGATTATAATGCAAGCGAGATCCTCAAATCCCCCGCTCATTTGCATTCCTTTTCCAATGATCACTGCCTCCCTATATATCATTGCATTGCCTTACCGCCCTCCGGGAGAAAGGACTATGGCTACAGGACAGTAGTACCCCTCACCATACCGGGTAGTATATTGCATGCCCGCCTTGCGCTCGGTAGTGCAGGTCTCCCTGTCCTCGTAACAATGGGGGCGAACCATACTGCGGGGAAGAGAAGTATTCACGATTGAATAAGGTAACATGTAGGGCCCTGCAGATTTAAAGGGAAGACCGATTGTATCACTATCACCAAATTCGGAAAGGGGCCGATCTCGCTACCATGCGCTCTGTTTTGTGATCGTATGAAGAGTTCTGCTTTGTGAAGGTTTTCGAACTTGTGCAGCGCTTCTAGTTGTCAAAAAGGGAAGTTGGTCGGAGAAGCGACTATTTCGCCAGTGACTGTGGTCTGTAAGGCAATTAGCTCCCCATAGTATGATTCAGTATGATTCAGTATGATTCGGGGATAAAAGTTAGAGGTGGAATGTTGGGTCATGCTTTAAGGGTCTAGCAGATGGTGGGTACAGTGGACAGACATTATCGTAAGTAGGCAGGGTTCTTTTCTGCTCTCTTGGAATTAATATTAAACCCTTCTTTTGTCCCCTTGCTATCTCCTCCTCATTGTTCACCTTCTTTGTTGTCTTTTAGCAAGAAAGGCAAGAGAAGTACATTGGTTATTTCCTCTCTCAATTATTTTTAACCAAAATGTATCTCCGGGAAGCCAGATTGTCGGACATGCCAGCGGTGGGCAAGATTGGTGCAAGAGCTTTCCTCGACGATCCATTATTCACAGCTATAGAGCCAGGGAGACATACATACTACGAAGACTATGAGACAGGCTGGGTCCGACGAATACGTGATAAGGTATTAAAGCCAAAGACGAGAATAATTCTCGCAGTGGACGAAGAGACAGAGCAGATAGCAGGATTTGCAATCTGGGCACGGGAGGGGGACGATCCGGCAGCAGATCGGTGGAAGAATGAAGGCTGGATACTAAAACGTATGATTACCATTTTGACTCTAACTTATCCCATGAACTATCCTAAGACTTCTCACAGTATTAAAACTAACAAGAAAAAAAAAAAAAAAACTCCAGGACTCGAATCCACCCTCCTCACCCTACAAGAGACCTTCACAAAAACCCTCTCCCCCCCGCGCAAGTCCCGTTCCGAGGACTCCGCTGCGCTAGCCCACTTCGGAAAAGCGATAGAGGAAATTGCTGCAACGACTTGGTCCCGCGAAGGCTGGCACATCCGCTGGCATTTGAACTTCCTCGGTGTTGACCCCTCCTACCATAGGCGTGGGGTCGGTGGCCAGCTGGTCAACTGGGGCATGCAGAATGGCGCGAAGGAGGGCGTGATATGCTCCCTGGAATCCAGTCGTGCTGGCCGAGGGCTCTACGAGAAGTTGGGGTTTGAGGTCGTGGATGAGTGGGTGCCGTTTAGGGGGTTTGGAAAAGATGGGGAGTTTGAGGGTGTTACGGCGCCGATGATGGTTTGGGTGCCCGGGAGGCGTGGGCGAGCGAATGGGGTGAATGGTGTGGTGAATGGGGATGGGAATGCGAAGGGGAAGGAGAAGAAGATTGGAAATGGGGTTGTATCGGCGAACGATGCGAGGGTTAGCAATTCGTAAATCATTAGCTTTCTCTTTCTTTCTTCTTCTTGTTTATGTATGTATGCATATGCATTGTGAAGGAGTCGTGTCGTATTGTATATATTATAGTGCTTGGGTTTTATCTATCTATTGCATTTTATTTTTTCTTGCTGTATGTCGTGTTGCATCGGCACTTCAGGCACTTTAGCATTAACTTAACTTATGTACGTACTACTTGAAAAGCATACATAACAGATGTGATAAGCTAATCAAGACCAGTACTGTACTACACACTCCGAATCTGTCAAAAAAATTATTCTTCAGGTCCCGTGTGCCCAAATGGAGACTTCGGACACCCCGATTTAAGTGCCGAAAAAAGAAAAAAAAAAGCTTGTTGGACTGTAGTGCACTGCCGTTATGTTAGCACACTATTGATTGCTACGGGGGCGTGATGCCTGGAGGACTGGACGGGGGGTATTTGTCATTGGAGGGTAGGGGGGGGATTACTTACTGGAGTTTGGGCAAAAGGTAGATTTTGAGACTTGGGAGTGAGGTTTTGATTACTTTAGTGGTAAAGTAAGCCCGCACTGCAATGCCTGATAGTGGAAGTACTGTGCTGTATTTTGTCTGGTTGCTGAGTGCTGGGTGTTGAAAACAGTGGTTGAACGGTGGTAGTTGTTGTTGCTGGATGTACCAGCACTCGTGGTTGTCGAGGTATACGTACGCACTAGAGGAAGGACGCGTACGCTTGGGATGTTTGTCTACCCCCTATTTAGCTCGTTCTTGTTTTCTCTCTTTCCCCTGATTAACCATCATGACTATTACAGCAATATCATCTCCTTACGTCTTTCCTTGTCATCACTTTATCTCTATCAAGTCTAGTTATTATTTTCTTCTAAGTACAAATCTTGTGTCTCCACTATAGCCAACTCCACTTCCGCTGAGTGAAACCCTCACTATCTATCATTACCTTTACGGTACATTTCCAACACTGGGAGGTGGGTGGCAATAGAGGTCGTTTGGTAAGTAGACACCGGTCTTGGCGGGGATGAACACCCTCCTGTTCACGGCTGCTATGAAAACAAAACTTTTACCACCTAATTTGAGTCCTATCTAGGAAGATATCTGAAGAGCTAGATTACATTTTACTACCTAGTTGATCCCCTATTACTTCTTATACAAGTTAGGATTCACCTAGGCATGCCATTAATATAGGTATAAATATGCCTCCACAGTAACCCTTCCCATACCTCCTGTGCCAAAGCAATCAACTGCTCCTCATCCCTAGGTATTCTTTGCCTTTCCCAGACTGTTTGGCAATAATGGCATTTGAAAAGTGCCCAAACATTCTCGATTGGGTTCAGGTCAGGCAAGTGTTGTGGCCAGTCCATGTTTTTTATTCCATACTGCAACCAATATCATCATGTATAGTCTGATGTATGATAACTGTCCCCATCTTCAATAGTCTCAACACCCCCCCCCTAAACCTTCACACTTCACATAAAAGGGTAGAAGATGAGGAACTAGGATCTCATGAACATATTGGTTAGAGTTGAATCCTAACTGATCCTTCTCACTCTTTCGCTCATTTTCTGTCCATTTGCAAAGAGGAATCAATGGAGTGTGATTCCCATATGAAAATGCAGCCCAGAAGCCTACAGAGAGGAGTTCTCCAATAAAGGTAGGCTGAAAGTTTTGTGCTTTATAGGCGAATTGTGGCCCTGGCTTCCTTCCTACCTTTCTCCTCCAACCTGTTCCTGAACCCACCTGCAGCTGAACCTCATCCGTATAGACAACCTTTTGAAAGGTTTCCTTTCTCCATCTTCTCCTCTCTCTACACCATCTCTTCCTTCGCTTTCTTGACTCTCTTCCTAGCCATGGCTTGCAGTAGACAAGAAAAACAAAATGATTTTCCTTACACAAATATTTACTAATCATGCGAGGTTGGACCTTCAAACTAGACTCCAGAGCAATTTCAGTGAGTGTGGCTCAGGGATGTGAATCAGAGAGTCATACTAATTGTCTCATGTCTTGATCGTTCAGAGCTGGCAATTTCCCTGGACATGGAGGAGGCTTTAATTTACCAGTTCTGGACCAGTAATTGATGATATTTCGTGCAGTATCCTTTGAAAAGCCTGTTTTATGGGCAATTTGATGGTAGCTTTTCTCTTCTGCATGGAGCTCAATTATCCTCACTCTTTCCTCTGTGGTTGCCATACGACGTTTGCTAGTACCTTAATTTGACAGCATGGTCGAAGTTGTAGATTGTCGGTTATTTTGTGACAATCCT